ATCCCTGGGATACTGGGTAGAGGGTCCTTAAACTTCCCAAAAGGCAAGCAACAATCTCTTCCTAGCATTTAAAACTCCTACTAAATATTTGAGCTCTGGTGATTGAGTGAGTGAAGAGTTTGCTGCCAACCCAAAGGCAAGTGGTTTGAATTGACCAACTGCTCCTTGGGAGAAGGATGGACAGTTCCCTCCTGTGCAATTTATAGTCTTTGAAAACCTACTGGAGATTGAGCTATGAGCTCGTTCCAACCTGACAGCAATGTGTTTGTGTTGAACTATGAAATATTTACTAAGTAGATAGCTAATAAATGGGAATCCCTACCTAATACATCCCTTCATAATTGAAGGCACAGGTTATAATGGCTTCAGTAATTCTTGCTATTATTTGAATCTTGATTTTCTGTTTATTATTACTACTTTATTTGATACCCACCTCCCCCTGCTCAGCTCAGCACTTCTGGGCATTAGGAACAGAGCTTTTTAATAATTAGAAATGTGAGTCTAGCATGACACCTCTATTAGCTAAGTAAGCATAGGTTTGTGAATTGTGCTTTACTTTTGTAACCAGCACCTTCTGAGGACAACCTCAACCCAAAGCCCTACCATTTGTTGCATTTTTGTGCTAATGCATCCATCATATAATAGGGACGATGAGTAGCACTTACTTGCTTCATGAACATTTCACCAAATTTTAGAACCATAAAAGGGAAAGCATCAAAGTCAGATTGTTCAGGTGGCAGATTCCTGGGTTGTGGAATGACAAGGTGGCCTGGCCTCCCCTAGTCTTTCCTAGCTTGAGGTGCTGCACCCTTGAGGTTCTTCTCTTGTGACTCTCCCTCATATTCCATTTGAGTCAAAAACAGTTTCATCGTGGAAAAAGTACCACCAGTGTTCCTCAGGCAAGGATGGTGAAGCTTCATCTCACATACTTTGAATATGTTGTCAGGAGAGGCTATTCCTTGGAAAGATAACATGCTTGGAAAGGTGGAGAGTCAGTAAAGAGAAGAAGACGACCTTCAAAGAGATGGACGTAGTGACTCTGCAGATGGCTCAAGTGTGTCGGGGACGATCAGTATGGTGCGGTATAGGGTAGGGTTCAGATCTGTTGTTCATAGAGTCCTGTGAATCATACTCAACTCAGTGGCCCTTAATGATAACAACCACCAGCCTTTCTCAGCCCAAGATGCTGCATCCTTGGGGTTCTTCGCTTCAAATGACCCCAACATTCCATTTCAGTCATCATTCTTGAGACTCTCCACAATCTCATTGCTAATCTAAAGCCAGAAACTATCAACCGTTTTCTCAGTTTCAAGCTTAAAACTGATACAAACTTGCTGGATAATTTTGATCAAAATAACACATGTATTTGTGTGCCATCTCATGATCATGTCAATTTTCCCCTTCTTGTGAGCTATTAAGTGTTTTCAAGGAGTGCATAGTTGTCAGTGAAACAAGCCATATAGAGCTGCAAGGTGTAAAGCTTAGCAACTCTTGAGCAAAGTAATGTTTTCATAGTCTTTGCAGCATTGTTGTTGTGTTGTTAAGTGCTGTCAAGTCGTAGATGACTCATTGCGGCCCTATAAACAAAAGACCTGAACACTTGCATAACTTTCTTCATTTCTCCAAGTTCATAGGGTTTCCAGAGGCAAGCTATTTCAGAGGTAAATGCCACTCCTGCTTTCAAGTTTGTTTTAATCAGGGAGCTCCACAAAACACTGTCCACCATGGGTAATGAGTATCACATTTGGCACATCAGCATAAGCACTGATTAATCAAAGTGCCCACTCATTGTAAGCAAACCCCTAGGATGGGGCTAGGGCACTTCTAAATGATAATGGTGAGAATGTAGACAGAGCATGAAGGTAGTGAGTAGATTTGAAGGAAATGTCCTAAAATGAATTTTCTTTTTCATTCTGTGATCTTAAAACCAAAGTGGCACATTTTCTACCCCAGAAAAATGTGTTCTTCCTTTTATGTCATAATTTAGGAACAAATTACTTTCTACAGGTGAAGGCAGGAGTAAAATGTAGAGATAAGAAAAAGTATTTTCAAACATAATATTATTAGCTTCCATTGAATCATCTTCATTCAACTCATAAAGACCTTATCTATGATATAATGAAACACTCCTAGACCTATAGTCACAATATTCTGTTGTGATCTATAGTGTTTTCATTGTAATTGAGGAATAAATTACTTTCTACAGCGTAAAATGTAGAGACAAGAAAAAGTATTTTCAAAAATAATGTTGTTAGCTTCCATTGCATCATCTTCAACTCATGAAGACTTTATCTATGATAGACCCATAGTCATAATATTCTGTTGTGATCTATAGTGTTTTCATTGACTAATTTTCAAAAACAGATCATGAGGCCTAGTCTATTCTAGGCTGGAAGCTCTACCGAAACATACTCACTATGGTACTCTACTCACTCTACTGGTATTTGAAATATCAGTGGCACAGACTCCAGAATCAAGCTGTGTTATTGTTGTTAAGTGTCATCAGATTGACTCTAACTCACAGGAACAGTGAGATCTGTACAATGAATAAGGATGACAGAAGAAGAATTGATGCCTCTCAGTTGTAGTGCTGGAGCAGAGTAGTAAATATCCCATGGACTGCCAAAAGAACAAATAGATGTACCTTGGAAAAGTGTACCAGAATGTTTCTTGGAGGCAAGGATGGCTAAGCTGCATCTCCTGTACTTTGGGCATGTTGCTAGGCGAAGCTATTCCTTGGAAAGAGATATCATGCTGGAAAGTTGGAGGGTCAGCATAGGCGAGGGAGACCTTCAACGAGATGGTTGAGTGACAGCAGCAGTGAGTTCAAATGTGCCCAAGATTGTGAGGACTGCACGGGATAGGGCAGGGCTCAGATCTTTTATTCATACGGTCACTATGAGCTGTACTCAATTCGAGGGCACATAACAACATAGCAACCCTGTATATAACAAAAACTCAGTAGAAAGCTCTGCTAGTCTCAAAATCTGTATTGTATTTAAACCCCTTGTTGCAGTCACCATTTCAGTCTATCTCCTAGAGGCTCAAGTCTGGACTTAAATGACATAGGTTGGCCTTTTCTTTACTGTCCTGGACCGTGTCTAGGCATTAGAATAGAAGTAATTAAGACCACAAAGTTTTGATCTGCTTTAATTATTTATTGCATCATTTATAGTTCTTTTAAGACAGCAGGTGCAATTTTAATTAAAAAACAAAACAAAACAAAAAATGGCACAAGTTGGATTATTGGAAGGGTGACCAGTTCACATTTTATAATTTGGAAATGATACTGTAATGGAGTCATACCAAATCATTTTTACAGCGATGACTAATGGTTTTCTTCTCTTTTTATTCCAGCCACACCAGCTATCCTTGACGGAGCAACCCCGAGTCTGCAAATATTTGATTCAGACCTAGAGACAAGTAAGAATTTTAATCTTTTTCTGCCTTCAGCAATATAGTTCAAGTCCTACTGTAACTCAAGTTACTGCTCTTTCTTTGTTTTACTTGGGATATTGGTAAGTAGAATTGAAATTGTACTGGCAAGCAAAAAAGGTATGTTTATAAGGGGTTTTCTTTTCTTTATTTCTTTCTTTCTTTTGTTTTTTGTTTTTTGGGTTTTTTTGCAAGGTACCTTCTTTATCTATTTGCTTATGCTCGCTCTGTAAGCAAGGTGAAATTAATGGAGACTTTGCTGTGGATATGAATCAGTGAATTCTGTGACCTTTGTATGAATTAATTACTTATATATTGAATTTTATGGTAAAGCTTGCGTTTTGCATTTTGTGCTACTTCCAAATCTTTCATACCACCTTAAAAAACATGATTAGATGGTTGGTTGTTGTTATTATGTAATATCAATTCAGGACAGACTTAGAGCTGACCCTCTAGTGGGTTTTTGGAGTCAGGAAATCAAATGGTAGACAGTCCATCTTTCTCCCACTGAGCAACTGGTATATTTGAATCACCTGTCTTTCAGTTGGTAGTGAAAACCCTATAAACTAGGCCCCTAGAGCTGCCTGATTACATGGTAGGCACTTGTTTAATTAAATTCTAGGAATGGATATTTTTCATTAGTTACATAAATGTTAGAGTCCAAATTATGCAATAAAAGAGAAGACAGTCTACCTAATTGAATTTAAACCACTACTGTTTTTGTTGGTAATTCTGGTGTCATAAAATGATAATTTGGGGTTTATGACTAAATTGCAGAGTAAATTTCTAATGTGAGATTGTAGCATCATTTTCTTGGATGTGATCCAAAGGGATGGTAGGTGTTTTTAGTAAATGTCATTCACTCATCAGTTGTGCCAGACCACAAACTCTTTACAGCCCTCCTTTTTTAGAACCATCTGACATGTTAATCTACTCCCTAATTAACACTAAGGATTATAAATGGGGTGTCTGTTTGATTATGTTTGGGTTATATCAGCCAGTAAGTAGATCAATGCCTTCATTCAACAGTTGGTGTGGCCTGTTGTTATTTTCTGTAAGGAAATAAGAAGGAATTAGTCAAGAATGTTTGCATAGTAGCGAATTTTCTATCCCACATCGAAGCCTACTTCCACACAAATAATACATTGCCTTCCACTTGATTTCTTCAACCTGTCGCCCTTAAATGTCTTGGTGAAGGTCTGGCAGAGTGCTCTTTGGAGACAAGGAGGAACTTTGTCTTGCATACTTTGGGCACGTTGCTAGGAGAGGTTGCTATTGCTTGGAGAAGGACATAATGCTTGGAAAGGTGGAAGGATGGCAAAGGAGAGAAAGACCCTAAACCAAGTGGATTAACACAGTGACTGGGCTTGAGTGTGCCAAAGATTGTGAAGATGGTACGGGACAGGGCAGGGTATTGTCCATAGGGTCACTATGAGTTGTACTTTACTTGATGGCACCTAACAACAACAACAACATTATCCTTATCAGGTCGCAGGTCTGTCTTAGTTTCTTAGTACTGCTTTAACAAAAATAACACAAGCTTGTGGCTTTGAAGAACAGAAAATTGTTTTCTGACTGTTCCAGAGGGTAAATGCCAACATCTGCATCTCAGCCTTATTGAGTCTTTTTTTGTCAGTAATCTTGTGTATTCTTTGGTATTTGGTCCAATATAAGTCTGGTCCATGTTTCTGTGCTTAAGCTTATCTCTTTATAGCTTCTTTTACAAGATTTTAGGTTTAGAATCCACTTTACACTGGTATGACCTCAACTAATAGACCGATTATATTTGATTACATTATGGAGGATGAGTACAGTATTTACATTATATTGCATTAACAGGTATAATGGTTAGGTTGCAATATAGATATTGAAGGGATACAATTTAATCTATAACAGTGCCCCATGAGTCTCAAGTTTACTGATACATAGTAACTTTTGCCAGTCATTTGACAAAAGTTGACTTCCTGTCAACCAACTATCATTCAGAACATGGACCCTTTGCCTTCTCAAAGGGAGAATTCCAATCTTCTAGCTTCTTTTGGTTTAAAAAAAAGCCAACTGTCACCAGACTCAGGTCTGGTTTGATAGAATAACCCATGTAAATCAATGCCTGTTACATGATTTGGGGATGGGGGAAAAGGCAGATACTATCGTCAAACATCTCACTGAAATCTGATAGACCCAAGTGCTTACACTACTTCACTCCATCACTAGGTAGGCACACTGTTGCTGGGTCACAAATATTTCAATCTGTAATATACATGGCCAGGAGGTACCAGTCCTTGGAAAAGGACATCATGCTTGGAAGGGTGGAGGGACAGCACAGGAGACAAAAGTACAACATGAAATATCCTGAAGATTAGATCTATGTGTGCTTTTATATATTCTCAGATTCAGTAAACTCTTTTTATTTCTAGAATACAAAGAATTGGAAAGTGTTTCATGGCCAGTCCTAGACAAAATTGACTAAACATAAATTAAGTCAATGCCACTACTCTTTCCAGGCCACCTCTATTTTATACATGGGCTACTGCAGTAACTGTTCAGTAGTTGTCTCCCTCATTTTTCCTTTCATCCCCTGCCCCATTTCTCATCTTTAGATTAATTTTCTTTTGCCAACAATACTTTTTTCAGTATTCAACATATTTATGCTCTAAATACCATTAAAATCTTTATTATGTTCCATGAAGTCATAGCTGACATTCAAGCAGGTTTTCAGAGGCAGTAAATTGCACATCAGGAGACTGCCCATCTTTCTCCCAAGGAGCAAGTGGTAGATTTGAACCATGTACCTTTGGATTGGCAAGACAATTCCTTATCATTAAGGCACCAGTGTTCTCAAAATCAACAGAATGTTAAAAATCTTTAAGTTTCCTAATTTCTTAAAATTTCACCTCCAAACCTTCTCCTTGGCAGGTTTTCAAGACACACTGTGATTTCCTGTCTTCCAATTACAACCTCCTTCCATTCCACCTGCTGTTGTCATTGTGTGCTGTAAAGTTGGAATCATAGCTGACCGTCATCTGGGCTGTTGTTGTTATTGTTGTATTCCATAGAGTCAGAAACAACCCATAGCTGACCCTCCAGCAGGTTTTCAGAAGCAGTTAATCTCATGGGAGGAGATTGGCCATCCTTCTCCCACTCTGGGCTTTTAGAGGCTGTAAACAGCGTGAGAGGAGATCACTCATCTTTCTTCCCCAGGGCAGAAGGTGGATTTGAACTGCATGCTTTTGGGTTAGCAACACAATTTCTTATTCACTGTGTCATCAGAGTTCCCTACCAATTGCTCTATAAAAATAAATCTAATGTTTCAACTAAAACAATGATGCTGTATATCTGAAACATAGCTACCTTGCTAATTGACTGGAAGAAATCACTATTTCCTCCTATTCCAAAAAATGGTGATCTACAGAATGTGGAAATTGCAAAACAATAACATTAATACAATATGCAAATTAAACTTTGATGAAGATTACAAAAAAACCCTGCTGGAAAAAGTACATCAACAGAAAACTTGCAGAAATTCCTGCTGGATTTAGATAAGATGGTGGCACCAGGGATATCAGGCTGGAAGCCAGGATACTGGAAGGACATCTATTTGTGTTTTATTCACTATGCAAAGGCATTTGACTGTGTGAATCTTAGCAATTATGGTTAAAATTGAGAAGAATTAGAATTCCAAAATACTTCTGTAAGTTCACTATGTACTGTTCTAGCTATTTTTGAATGATATTTAGCAGTATTTTGCTTGCATGTGATACTGATATATATTATTCTATAATTTTCATGATTTATTGCTTTACCTTTATTGGGGATGGGAACAAATGTAGATCTCTTCCAGTCAGTTGACCAGATAGCTGTCTTCCAGACTTCCTGGCACAGATTGATGAGCACCTCATCAATAATAGAGAACAGCGGTATTCTGGAAAGGTAGAAGGTCTGGGAAAGAAATGAAGACTCTAAAAAGATGGACTGACACAGTGACTGTAACAATAATCTCAAATATATCAGGGGTGATGAAGATGACAAAATATAGAGCAAGATTCAGATCCTTTTTTCCTAGGGTCACTATGAGTCATAGTCATCTCTAAGTCACTTAATTACAGCTCTCATTATCTAGGAGAGAGGTCATGAAAGCTCATACCACTCTTAAGGAATATATTCAATGTTGCTTTATAGTATAGATATTAGCAAATATCTGTTGTCTTCCTGTCTGGATTATGAACAGCTCTACATTATTCAAAGTTCTATAACTCAGTTTACTTACAATGGTGGTTGTTGTTGTTAAGTGCCATCAAGTTGAGTATGACTCATAGTGAGCCTATGAACAAAAGATCTGAACCCTGTTCTATCCTGCACGATCCTTACACTTCCTGACACCCAAGAGACCATTGCAGCAGTCACCGTGTCAATCCACCTGGTTGAGGGTCTTCCTCTCCTTTGCCGACCCTCCACCTTTCTAAGCATGATACCTCCTAGCAACTGATTCAAAGTATGTGAGGTGAAGTCTCATCATTCTTGTCTCCAAAGAACATTCCAGCCGCACCCTCTCCAAGACATAATTGTTCATTCTTGTGGCCACCCATGAGGTGTTCGGGATGTTTGATGCTCTTCTCCAAGACCAAAGTTCAAAGGCATCAATTCTTTTTCTGTCATCCTTATTCATTGTCCAGCTCTCAGATGCATAGCAAGTGATCAGAAAGACCATGGCCTTAATCAGACACAATTGAGTCCTAAAACTGACATCATTACTCCTCAATAATTTGAAGAGGGCCCTAACTGCAGATTTTCCTAGTTTAATACATCTATCTCCTGATCTTCTGACTGCTGATTCCAAGAGTGTTGATTGTAGATCCAAGTAAGATAAAGTTTTTTACCTTTTCAATCTTTTCTCCATCTATCATGATGTTGCCTATCAGTCCAATGGTGAGGGGTTTTGTCTTCTTCACACTGAGATGCAATCCATATTGAAGGCTGTCGTCTTTGAT